GTGTTCTCAGAGGCGTGTCCACCTTCAATTGGTCAATATCCAAATTGATCTCTTCCTTCTGAGAAAAATTCTTTTTCCGTGTCAAACAACAACAATGAATGAATGAATGCATGCTGAGAATACATAGACACATTCTGCTAGATCGCTTTTTATGACAGTTTGCCTTTCCCCTTTAGACATAAGCAAAGCAATTTATTATAGAAAATTCAAAAATTTTAAGATTAAGCCCAAATACTTTTTCCCATTGAGAAGTTTTACAATAATGCCAGCTTCACTTTTTCTTGAAATCAGGTTTTCAGTTATTAGCATCCTGCATTTCTAGAAGGGCAGTATTGTTTTGGTTCAGACATTTTAGTCAAAAGTAGAAAGGAACCTTTAATAAGATACAGGTCCAGACCCAGCATACTGATACCCTTTTTATACTGCAGATGCTGACTAATTAACATTGCTTATTTTTCACTTGTCAGAATGCTTGCCCACTACCAGGTTTGCTGTTTTGCTGTTGCTAGCTCTTTAACCTTTTTTCTGTGTCTATATATCAAGGTCCTATAATACAAACCTTCTCCAGCTGTCAGATTATCCACCTTCATTTAGATTTTGGACTCTACCCTTCCAGCATCATGGCAGTCAGAGGCTATTAAGCATCTCTCACTCAAAATGAAGTCTTACATTCAGAAGAGCCATAAAAATTCTTCTACACTAGATTTTAAAGCTAATCATGCCATTCTTTAACCATCACAACAAGCCTCTCAAATGGAAAGGTATAATTTCCAGCAAATCTACATAAAACCCTTTGAGGTTTGTCTATCCTTCAGGTTTTTACTTCATACTTTTCTGTTTCTTGAGATGTGAGCTCCTTGCTAGCATCTAACAGGTGTATTTCAGATTCCACTAGTACTGCTCTCAGTAAAATGTCTTGAGGCACATCCTCCTATAAAGTCAGCTGAGCAGACAAAGATAAATATTATGCAAGATCAACAAATATTATTTTTTTATCTTAAATATATGGACATTCTATTTAAAAAGCTGTACCAGAAAAGTATGGTGAAGGAAATGAAGTCTTGATAATGCTACAATGCCTAAGAAAATATTTTTTTTTTTAAAGACAGAAAATAGTAGAGCAGAAAACTTATTGAAAATGCAATTTCTTTGTGGAAACTTAAAATAGAAGGTTTGGATATGGATGTAATTACAACTGATTTTACATGGACAGCACTTCACTCATTGCGCACATGCTGTTTAATAATAGTATCAATTTTCAGTTACTAGTCTAACCTGTGGCAAATGCTATATTCAATTACAGTTTCAAAGAAAGTTAAAAATTGCCCTTCTCTGAAAAGGGACTATTTTGGTGTTGGTACTCATGTGAAAAAGAAAAACAAAACTGAACCTAAAAAGCCTCAAAATACATATATTTATTTTCTATCAAGTGAAGAGTTATGCAATGCACCCGCAATTTTGTATTTCAGACATCCACCTTCTTAGTGGAAATGTTATACATGGTCCAAGTACTAATCTGTAAGGCTGCCTCTGCCTCTTCCAAAGCAGGTTTGGCAGCTTCCAGCTTCTGTTCAGCAATGGCTTTGTCAACTGTGATACTGTCTACAATAGTTTGGGCTTTGTCTTTCACTTTCTGAACATCACCCTTCACATTCTCAACAGCCTATGTTATTACAGTAACTTATTTCAATACCTAGAATGTAAGAAAACCCACATGCTGTAGTTAAAAGTTTTTGTTGTAAAATCATATCTCTCCAATTTCAGAAAACTCAAACAACATCATTTTCTCCAAGATCCTTTCTTTCCCACAATTAACTTCATTTTAATTGATTCATCTTTTCAAAATAGAATAAATAAAAGAAGAAAAAAATCAAACAGCAATACACTTTGAAGGCTGTACATACCATGTCAGCTTTTTCATTGGCAATTTGAAGCTCCTTTTCTTTTACTTCCAGTTCTCTGCTTAGAGCAGCCACTGACTCAGAGGCCTCTTTCAATTTTTCCAGACCAGTATTTATTCTGAAGTTAAAAAACAAAATAAAAAGCATCTCATTCACTATGTAATTTACACTCTACTTTCCATCTATAGAATAAATCATATCAATCAGAGTGAACAATTGCAAGTTATGTTTTACACCAAAAATAAAACTTGGAGGGGAATTTTACATTTCTGATATCTTCAGAATCAATAAAGTGGACAATAAAGTACATTAATAAAGTTTGTGGCTTGAAATTTTACCCACCTCTGATTAAATAGTATGCCTTTATCATTGCATAAAAATCCTGTGTTATTCTAGAAATGTCACTCACTGTTTTTCTTGAGCCAATAATCAAAGAACTGAGTTCCATGCAGCAGAAAGCATTTTCTGATCGCTGAAATTCTGAAAATTATAACCAATCAATATTTCTTATTTGAAATGGAAACTCAAAAGAAACCAAGACCAAACAAAAGAGAGGAAAAGATAAATAGTATTGAGATAAGACTTCTCTGATTCAGCATTAAAATGCCCCTTCAACAGTGCTTTTTTTCTATCAGAAATTCTTCACCTGGGACCTTTCAGAAAGCTTAAAAGGCCTCTAGAGAGACTGCTGTTGCGAAGGCTATGCAGTACTTGGACAGCTGAACAAATACAGGAGAACAGACAAAGTGTAACTGCTGATGAATTCAGACAGTGCAAATAAGTTTAAGTGGAAGAAATTGGACTCAGTGAGCTAACTTGGTAAATCTGAAGGTAGAAAACAGGGCAACACCCTTCTGTTGTACAAGTCTTCACCCCTAACATAACTACAGGTTTCAAACTCAATTTGACTTTGAAGACAAAGAATGTTTCAAAGCCAAATAAACAAGTTTAAGCCTTTAAGGTTTCCAGTTCTTTTTGACAATATTTCAAAACTGAAAAGGCAGTTTTTCTTAAGGGTGATACCAACTGATGCACTGATTGCTAATTTTACATTACAGCTGGGTGCTCCTGACATGGAGATATATCAGCAAATAGATATCATTACTTTAATAAAGCATCTGGAAATAGAAATAAGTATACCAAAACCACCTTAATAATGCACGATTAAAAAGCTCAGGAGTCTAAGAAAGGCTCTGTGCTCACAAAACTACTTAGGACATCCCTTACATATTCATAACAGGAGGTTACAAGTGTCCAGTTAGGAAACAAAATTTGCCACCTGACAAATTAAATGCTATTATCAATATAATATAAAATTACATGTAGATGTCTTCTTTTACTCTTTAGAAACATATGGGTATCATTTATATTCACCCCATATTCCCTCTACCTCTATTTTTCATGCATCACTACTCTTCCCCTCTGACCCCCCAAATATATGTAGTCTTTATCTTATATGACAAGAGCAACTACAATATTTGAATAAGTTACACCTTTGCATAATTTTAGGAATTAAAAATAGCTTTTTTTTGCTGTGTGAGGAGACAAGCCATGCACTGAAATGAAGCATCTCAGAATATGCTACCTGGGGAAGAAAACTACAGAAAAACAGAAGTAACCTGAGTAATCTACCTGTTTGATAATATTTGCACTTCAGCATGCTTTTCTTTGTATGTAGTTTTATATCCCTGAATAAAAGTCAGGTAGGATTTGGGAGTCACATGTGTAGAACATCTGTAACTTGGAAAGTAATCAGAACACTTTTCTGCCACTCCATCCTGGAATGAGCCCATACACTGCACAATTTCCATCTTTGTATCAGCAGTGCAGTCCATATCAAATGAGGACAGGAAGTGTTCAGACACTTAGGAAAGAAAGAAAGCCTAAAGGTTAGTAAATATTTACAAAAACATTTTAGCTTATAAACAAGTCACTATAAAACAAGTCGACATGAAGTATCTTAGCTTTCACCCAGCTCCTGAAAACTCAGTCTTCTTTACTCTTCACAGTCAGATTCTGAATATTATTCCACACTTGTCAGTAAAAAGTACAACGAAGGATCTGTCATTCTTCATCTCCAAAGTGTGCAAATGCTTTTTCACGCTGAACCTAGCTGCTACCTACCAAGGACTGGGTAATCACAGCATTCCTCTGTATGCCCTATCACAGACATATTCATAAATAATCTCTTTCTTTAGTTTATTTGCCTTCTTTACAAATACTTTTAAGGCATCTTCACGGGGAATTTTTTTTAAACTGTGTTCAAAACCATTCCTCTGTTAGAAATATTTCAACAGCATAATAAAACAGTCTTTAAAGAAGAAAATGTCTACATCAAATATTAGAATCAATTATTTATTTTGTTAAAATTCAACACAATTACAGCTACATGACCACTGATAAGAAAATTATGTGTCTGCAAATAAAAAAACCTATACATACCTGCCACCAGAGCATCCTTAGGCCATTGGCTGAACCAATCTATAGTGCATCCAGAAATGAGAGCAGGGAACTTCAGGGCCCTATTTCAGAATTTTTCACCTACTGGTGAGAAGCAAAGAACTACGTGAAGGTTCTGATGGACTCTGACCATGAAATAGTCATACAGAGCTTCACTGGTTGGAGGTCTTTGTGGATGCTCCTTTTTGAAGGAGGGAATGAGATCACTAATGATCTCATCTACCTCATCACGTGTAAATAAGTTTGACACCTTTGGGAAGAAGGAAGATTTTTCATGCTTCTTGAGATGATCCAAAATAGAGGATACAGCATGAGGTTATTTTAATACACATTATTGTAGGAAGGGACATAAATCTCAGGCAGTGAAGTTATTAGTACCCCCCAGCTTCTTTAACAAGAAGTTTTAATGAAGTTATTCCATTAAATAGACTGAAATGTAACTTGCTGTAAATTTTAAATGCCACCCTCCAATAGCTTTCCTTCCTTATATTTATATTCTAATAACTAGTAGTAATTATTCTGAAACATAACCCTGAAATAATAAATAAGTAAATAAAATCAATAAAATCCATCAATTCTGGACATAAATTTACCATACAAAAACTAACTGTACACTAATGTGGAGTTGCGTTATTTGTATGTTTTATTATCCCTATATTATGTATCGGTTTATTCCTTTGTACCCCCATGTACAACTTGGTTTGTCCCCAGTTTTCCCGCCTTGTCCTCCCTTCCC